GGAGCTTCTGTCCACACTAACCTGTGATGAGAGGTCACATGTAGACACGATCCAAACCTTACTGGAGATATGTTTACATGGCATGGGACTCTTCACCCCTGCAGGGTTAACTTCATACAGTCACAAAAAGAAAGGAGACCGGGACAAAAGCGATATTGCTAGGCAAAGAATTTATAAATTAATAAAAACATTCCCTTTGTAGTGTTCTTCTGACAGCTTTTTCCCACTTTGTATTTTTGTCCTTTTTTCTAATGATTTCAAAATATAGAAAAATATTTCTGACAACATTCATCATTACATTATTTTAGCATGATTTCCATTCTGTCCTGTTGATTATTTCACATACCTCTGCATTTCTGACCCTTTGCTTTTTACAGTATTTACACATTAAATCAATCCACATCACCTTTTCAGCTTCAAACAGGGGACGATTAGAGCATGTGTTGCATAGATCACAGGGGAGAAATGTTAAGCGACAAGTCAAAAGCTTTTCCAAAGAAAGAAGCAAAGTGAAAAGATACTGCACATACTGTACATCCCATGATAAGCAACACAAATCAACATATGAAAAAAAAACAAAAAACATGGCACAAAGTGTAAATGAAGTGGTAAATCGGCCGTGCAAACAAATTCGAGCTTCAAACTGAGGCTGTCAGAGGAAGTGTGTGAACACATGTGCTTTTTACTGACGTTAAAGTGGAAGCTTCATCTGTCACACAGCTTTGCCACGTGAAGCTCAGCTCAGCAATTTGAAAATATGAATTATTTTTACCCATTTTTGTGTTTAATTGTGTTGAAGAGCCAATCATAACCCACCCTGAAACAAAAGGGCATGCTATATTTCCAATTCAAATGAAAGCCAGTGACATTCGAAGACTTTGGCTTGTTGTTTGCATGTACCCTTGAATAAACAAAACACACAATCTCAAGACTTAACATGCTCTGAATTTAGCCAAAACTAATAAATGTTCATCTGTTTTTTAAGTGACGGAGTAAATGTAGTGTTCAAGTACAACTGTCTGAAATAGACAGGAAAAAAACAAAAAACAAAAAACAAAATCTGTGACATTACACACAAGTTTTTGAAGCTTAGCTTTGGGTTCACCACTCAGCACCATCTTTGTCAGTTTAGAGTAAAAAAACAAACAACATTTTTATGTTATTCAGCAACCACCATGGCTGAGACGCCTGTTTATCAAGCCAACACATTCACAAACATAAGATCTGATACATTTCACGGCCCTAACTCACTGTGGTGCACAGATTATATTTAACTGTTCTTAAGAGAGATCATTGATTTGGTTTTCTCCGTCACTTCATTATAATTAGATTTGTTTGGTGACAGTTTCTGCTGTTAAGACATTTCTGTAACGGCTTCAGCCTCCAGCTGTGGTAGTTGCTGCATTGTCAGAAATCAAAATCCCCTTCTCAAATGCAAATTAAAATGAGTGTCGGTGTGTTCTGAACAGACGACCCACACCGGTGTCTGAACAGTTGGACTCACTTCTCTACCAGCAGAGGAAGCCATTTGCTTCCGTTCAGTCTTAAGGAGTATGAACAACAGCTTCCTAAAGTGAGGTAAACCATAACGAACCACAACCATAACACCACTAAGCCTTAATTACATTTGTCAAACTCCCTCTTTTTATTATATTTAGTTTTGTTTTTGTTGAGCGCTGCACTGTATTAAACTCTGCTTTCAGTCTGTCGTCTGACAACTCCGGGAAGAAGTCAAAGTCCCTAGTAGGAAATAATCCCCCTATAAAAACACCCTATTACAAACTTTGTCACAATTATGTCTTTTGTATTCTTAAGAATGAAAAACAAGTAAATATAAAAAAAAAAATAAAAAAAAATACAAACCGTAAGCAGTGAGAAATGACTGTGGGAAGTCTAGACGTGTACATGAGCTAAAATCCCATTTTCAGTCACAGAGGATCAATGCTAGCAGTTTAAATTCTGCAGCTTAAGGTTATTAAGCAGTTCCCTTCTTTCCAATGCGGCGAGAGCTTCAAAAACAACCTCGTCCTGTCGCCTTTTTAACCTTAATTCAGGGTTGTTACAGCTGGGGTCTTATTTTCATCGGTTGTATCATCTGAAATTGTTGTAGCACCAGTTAACTTGGCGAGCACAACTTTATCATCATAATTAATTTGGCCATTTAACTGCTACTGTATTACATAACAGATTATTTTGGGAAGTTATTTGAATATGGAAAAAGTGCTGCATAAAGACGTGTTCAGACAGTGCACCATTAAACTGCCTATGATTGCATAAACAGAGACACAGGGAGTTTCACGTACTGTCAGAGAGATTGTCTTTGGTGTCCACAAACGTATCACAGAAATGCATAAAACTGACTAACTGCACTGTTACTATGCCACTGACCAAGTAAGTGATACTACTGAGGAGATGAACATTTACCATCGAGCTCAATATACGTCTGATCTTAAACAGAACTGTTTGCAAAAAAAAAACAAAAAAAAACACAATCTTGAGTGGAGTTGAGAGGAGTGCAGAGAGACCCTCTGGCCTTAGGGGAAACATTAATCTCGTTCTGAACACGTGGATGAACAACAGACTCGGTGAACAGATGGACGGACGGAAGGCAGTGGGTAAATTACAGAAGTGATTTCTCTACCAATTTAATTAGCCGAGAGCAAACATTCAGTGTGAAACATGTTCTTGTTGTCGCTGCTGATCTCTGCAGGCACCGGGATGACTCACTAAAACCACTAAAATCCTACAGCATGGAAGCTAATTGAAGCTCAGCACTGTTGCACAGACCAAACTGCACTATTTAATTATCATTTAATTAGAAACCTGACCTTTACTGACATGCAGACACTCGTACTAATGGTATTTGTTAAAAACAAACAGTGGGGGTGTTACAAAATGTGTCTAGAAATCCTGTAGAAAAGTGAGTTACAGCAGTGATGGAGTACATTTACAAACAGGACGACCGTGGATATGGCTTTGACAAGTTGAGGAAGCTTCAACTTGTTGAGAAAGATGAAAGTTGTCAAAAAAAGAAAAAAGAAAAATGTGGTTTTCAATTTCAGAGATTAAGACTTTGCAGGATGGCAGTAGAGAGAATGGCTAGTATGTGCAAAAAGCTGGGTCACTGATGGATTTCACACTGCAGTCATACAGGTAATGCTTCACTTTTACAGGTTCTTCTCCTAATAATTTTCTCGTAATTTCCTGGAGGAGTTTACCGAAAAGAACTAGAAAATTATTTTAAAAAGTTACAGACCTGTGAAATGAAGAACCACCATCTTATAAAAAAAAAAAAAAAAAATCAAAAAAAAAAATCAAAAAAAAAAATCTACCAACATGCAACAATTCCAAGCCTCACAAGGTCACTCAACGTTGAAAGAGAACATTTTTGTCTTGGCAAAAGCTTTTAACACTGCGACTGCAATTTCATTCAACCTCAGTCAAAATAAATTAAACGCCAATCACAACACTGGCACTGACTTCTTCCGCATCCTCACATACACATTTAATACTTGGTACCTAACAATGAAATGAAGAGATAGTAGCTGTTACACTGATAGAAATGGGTGTTAAAAAAAATAGCAGCATGTTAAATTCCAAGATGAACGGTTTGGATGTTCAGTCTGGCCTGTCTCACCCAAAAAGACACTACGTTTTTCAAGCTAACTGAAACCAAAATCTATAAACTGAAATGGAAACTGCTTCTTATAAGCTTTTATTTTATTTTTTTTAGCTCACACTCACACGAAGATCTGTTTATAGAAAAAGTCAGTGAATGCCTCACGAGGACCTTTTTTCAGCTGTCAGTTCAAAGTAAATGGAAATCATGACAACACTCCCTTGAAAAACAATCCCTTCCCTTCTCGCCCTTTTTCTCGCAGACACTCGGGTCTTTAAAAAAAAAAGACTAAAATGAAAAACTGAAGTCATGAATTGTAAAGCAGTGATGTCTTTTCAATGCCGCAGCCTCTTTTATGGCAACAGGTGAATGGCTTTACCGATGGCCTGAAGAGCTGACGTCACCTTTTAGAAAGGAGTCATTCTTTACAACACACTCACACACACACACACACACACACACACAACCACAGACACACCTGCTCCCACGTGTTGCTGATATGTCTAGAAAGTGGCGCAAATGCAAAAAAACAAAAACACATTTAAAACAATATCTTTTTAAAAACGGCATTAATTACCAAAAGTTTTCCAGTACATTTGTGGTGGTCGTGCTGATTCACAGGAGAGATGGTGGCACTCTCACCTCACATCACCTCTTCCAGTTATCTCATTCATTGATGACTAGTCTTTGCAGCAGTGGAGCCTTTTGAAAACTAAATGGACACTTGAGGTGCTTGAATGTTACTGGGAGCTGTTTTTCTGTGAGCTTTCTCTATTGGCCAGAGGACAAAAGACAAAGATGAGGTTGTCGACGAGAGATGGCCAAATCTGATTGGATCACTTTGTCATTAATTGACTCGCCTACACTTTCACTGTTTTCCTGCCAAACAGTTTTTTGGTGTTTATCATTTGTTGAGGATCAAACCTTCTTCTCCTCTGTGCCGCCTGAAAGCACCCTTCCAACGTAAGAGTATCGACTAGCACCAATATGTGCACCTATTTCTAATATCTGTGGCTTTACTGTGTCACATTATACCATGACATGGTATGTGTATGTACAAGCTCCCAAATCTCAAGCATTTACTGAGATTTTCTGTGTATAGAATGTAAATATAATACATGATATGCACAATATCATATAAGTTTACAGATAAGGAAAATTCTTCCAGTCCTATAGGTATCCTATAATGATTTTGGTACAAAAATGCGACTGTTTTCCTCTTGCTTTTGTCTGTGCAGACGACCCACTTCAGTGACAGAAAAGTCTCAGTGCTCCAGTCTGTCCTCTGGTGATGGGAGAATCCTACAGAACTCTTTTTACAGCCTAAAACAAAAACAAATGGAGGCTAAGAGCTAGATTTGAGGAGTCTTGTGTTTACCGTCTATTCCTCTGCTTCCTGGCTGTGAGGGAAGGGCAGAGTGACGGCGTGCTCTTGAGCCAGGGCAGCCAGCTCTTTGAGGAACTCGCAGAAGATGACGGCACAGTAGACGGCGTTCTTCACTCGCAGCGCCTCGGCCTGCTTCTCCAGGCCAGACGCCCCTCCGCCTGCGCCTCCCCGGAACAGAGCGCTGTGCAGTGATTGGCTGCCGTCCCGTACGTGCGCAAGGGCCAGCTGAGCGGCGTGACGGGCCCGGGTGGGGCTGTTGGTGTGACGGAGGATCAGGTCTCCGAGAGATGGCTTACGACTCTTCACTGGAAGAACGAAACATTAAGTTCAGGAGTCGTTTCAAGTCTTTTGCTCTAAGAGATTCAACCTTTCAAAAGTAACAGAGTAAAATTAATTCTACGTCTTCCTGGGACAGTTTTTTGTCACATGAATTTCAGCATCAACAAGACAAAATAAGAAAGTGACAACTTTAGGAAACTCCTTAAACTCGGTCTGTGTTGAAATAAAAATAAAATGTCGTTGCACTAGCAGACTGCTCCTTCTCTGCTTTCTGATTTTTTTATCATTACTTTTACTTTTTTGTTTTATATCAGGCTTACCTCTTAAACTGTATAGAAGAACAGTTCATCCGTATGAACACATTTCTTTGATATTCATTTGAATAATTACAGTAATGTGAAGCACTTTGACACAGTGCCTTTAAAATCTTCTAATCTGTTACCAAACACCCAAAAAAACCCATTTCTGTGCACAAGCCTGAAAACAATGTTCCCAACACCTGTTGATTGAACACACCTGGTCTTTTCAATTTTAGTATAATTAGATACTGAACAAAATTTACAGAGACACAAACATGGTAGATATGAGCTTTTGCCTTATCCATTTTTTTTTAATTGGCATAAAAAAAGGGAATATAAGGCCTGTAGTACATTTTGTGAGAAATCACTTTGGAGCCACAGTCAGAAGTCTGACCCAGTTCTGTGTTAGCAGCTGTTGCAGTGATATGAGGATCCTAAAATTCTTCGCACAGATAGAATCATGAGACCCAGAGCTTTCGACTAATGTATAATTTAAGTGTAAATTCATAATAATAAGACTCGAGTCTAGTACAGACCAAAACACCTGAAGTAGTGCTAAGCCTCCCACAGTGTATTTTAAAAAGGTACATTTTTTATCTCTTCAGTAAATTATCTGTAATTAATTATTCTGCTTTTAATTCTCTTTAAAAGTTAAATTGTACGTAAAGCACCTTGAAACCACTCAAGTGTCTGAGTTGTGCTACATAAATAAACATGCCTTCATTTGTTTGAAGGAAAAAAAATTTAGACTAATTATTGGAGAAATAAATTGTTCGATTTTTTTGGTTTACAAATAAAAACAGTGACTTATGAACTCACATTTTGAGGCCTTGATAATTAACTGAATCACAAATTTTGCTCACTTGAGGAAACTGTTTCTGCTGCAGAACTCAAGCGTAACCAGTCCTGGTCAGCAACATATGAAACGCACTCCTCTACGTGCGACTGCAGTTTCTCCAGTGTCTCGACTCACCTAGTGAATCAGAGCGCCGCAGGGTGGGAACAGCTGCAGGCGAGTCACTCCAGTCCACCTTGCCTCGGGCCACGAGGTACTGCTGGGCTTTCTTCAGCATGGCCGGGAAGTCCTCATGGGAGGCTGCAAACGCCTCGATACGGTTCTTCACAGAACCTAGAACCTGAAGAGAACCAGGGAACAAAGCTTCAGAGTTCTAACTGATGTTCAACAACAGACATCTTGTTTCTGTCGATTACAGTGAATTTCATTTTTGACTTTATAGATTCTGGCATAGAAGGTGAGACAGTCCGAAGTCGTCCCCAGAGGCTGCAACATTCATTACACTCCACAATATTAGAGTCTTGAAGGGAAAGGTCGTTAGAACAAATGTTACCATTAGCATAAGACTGTGTGGAGCCAGGGAAAAGGCCACGGGGTCATTTGACTTGGTTTCTTGTGATTGTGAACGTCTTCCCTCACTCTGTCAAAGCTGAGGTACTAAAGGTTTTACTGTCCACTCCAGCATTAGGTATCCATTCACAGTATCTTAGAATATGGACAGAAATAGAATATGGAAAGAAACTCTATATGCAAATATCACTGTGGGCCTGATGCTTTTGGAACAGGAGCTAGCACAGAAGTGAGGTGGGCTGGAAATGGACGACTACGCCTGAAAGCAGAAACCTAACAACTGTCATCACGCCAATAAGTGAACAGAGAAACCTTTTTCTACAGTTTGTAACCGAGTACCTGGTTGTTAATTGTAATGCACTTAAGTTCAAAAGGGGGGCAAACAGGGCATTCCTAGGCCATTATATCCTCTGTGCTGCAGGCTGCAGTGTACCTGGATCAGTGACTTGACACTGGGCTGGAAGACCATGTTGGTGTTGAGCAGGAAGGAACGTAGGAGGGGCTGAGGATAGCAGGCCAGCTGGGCCACGATGCCCGTGAGCAGGATGTTGACGTACAACGAGTTTTGGAGCATGTTCTCCAGCTTGGCAAACAGAACCACCATGAATGGACCTGCGGAGAGAAAGATTAATGCATCACTGGATGGAAAGACACAGCACGCAACTTGAGCTGAAGTGCATGCGGATGAAATCAGAGGTGTCTTTGACAGCTTTTTTTAAATAACCGAGGCAGCGTGGAGGCTGACAAACTGTGAATAATACGCAAAGTAGCTTGTAGAGGTTACATGAGGACAGTCTGATCCGCTGCCATTCTTTCACAATGCTGCCTCTCTGGGTAGAAAAAAAATATATAATTTATCCCCTATGAATAGTGGAATTAATGGAAAACTGTACCTGCAGAGACAGTTATTACAAAGGAGAAGAACGGTTTCATCTTGGGGTGAATATGGCTGCTAGAAAAATGTACGCATTAAGTCAGTGCTACTCCCCGCTTCAGTGATTTGACATGATGAAACTTTAGAAAATGGAAAAGACCATTTTGAAATTTTTTTATGGCAAATTCTGACGCTTAAAGTAATTTCACAAACTGAAAAAAAACGGAACCAGGTGTGTGTCCTGTCCTCAGGATTAGTCATTAAAAAAATGATGTGTTATGTGAGTGATGGGGAAGGATCGGCCCTTGGTTCAGGTGATCAATGTGGTAGATTATGTTGAAAACAAGTCTACAGTATTTCAGTATAATGAAAAACATGCTTCTTAAAACAGAAGACACAGATTTTCCAGAATTCAAATAAAAATGGAAAAAATTGAAGTTTTTAGTCACTTTGAAAGTAAAAATATCAAATCCTAATAGTGACAGCGTCGAACTGTATTAGTTTTGAATTGCAGTGTATCAGATTGTTACAAAAATAGAGATACACGCACTTAAACAACCTGTCAAATATGACCTCCCTCTGAACAAGTGGGCACTAATAAGAAAAACTACATCCAATAAAATAAACACTTGTGCAAATGAAAAGTCTAGGAAATAATAACACAATATCCACAATGCAATGTGAGTCTCACCTGTGTATGGCTGAGATGCAGGCTGATTTAGTGGTCTGGCAGGACTACAGACGCCCACCACAGGCCCCTCTGCTTTTGTGTCGCCTGTCAGCTTCGCCTCCAGGGCTGAGGACAGCTGCTGTTCCTCCTCCTGCCGCTCAGCGGTCAGGGACTCTCTGGCCGCTTCCTCCTGCTGTAAGGCTGCTCTGCTGCGTTCCTTCACCCGGTCCTCCAGCTCCCGCAGTTCCTGTGTGAAGGCCTCGATGCTGATGCCTTGACCGTTGGAGTCTCCGGAGAGCTGGGAGTCTCCTGGTGCCTGCTCCAGCAGCTCCTCGATGAGACTCTCTACAGATTGTTGCGTCTGGTTGGCTTCTGGAAGCTCTGAGGATGCGCTGTGTGGGTTTGAGGTGTCGCTGGTCAGCAGTTTGGTGTCAGGCGTTGGCTGGGGAATGGAGCTCTGTGAGGGAATCTGGTTAGGGCAAAGAGATTTTGCATCACTGATGTCGCTGTTGCTAAAAATGGACTGTGGGAGACTGGGGCAGCTTTGGGAGGGGCGTGTGACAAGGGATCCATTTTGATTTGCATTTTCATCCAAATACTGCTGCTCCCCCAAATCTCTCTTCACTTTCTTTACTTCCAGCCCTCTGTCCTGACTGTCTGAGCAGCTGTCCCTCTGTCCCATTGTTCCATTGTACATGGCCTGGTAGCTAACAGTGATGGCAGAGGTGGGAATGTGCGGAGCTGTGGACAAGGCGGCGTGGGACGTTGATAGAGGGGTGGCTGAAGATGAGGAGGACGGGACGAGAGGAGGTACAGGTTTCGGCAGGAGCTCTTCTCTCTGCAGGCTGCGTTTCTTGGAGCGTGGTGTGAGGCTGATGCAGCTGTTTTTGCCGATTGTAACGTCCCACTCTCCGCTGTCCCGCTCCGAGCTGCTCCACTCAGACCGCGCAGCAGCCACGATGGCCGCCCTCTGCTGGCCGGGAGGAGTGTTACTGTTTCCTCCCTGCTGCAGAGAGAAGTGCTCCGGGAACATAGCCATGGAGGGGTTGGAGGTAGGGGGAGGCGGGGGAGGAGGGGCTGTGTTTGGGGAGGGGTTTTCGCCATCATAGGGTGCCGACCAATCACGGCAGGCCCAGGAGCAGAGCTCGATGTCCCGCCGAGCATCTTTGAGGTACTCCAGGTAACCCGAGTCCCACTCTAGACACTCAGTGTTTGTCTGCTGCTGGTGCATCGGGCTGTCAGGGGACATGGGGTGAGAGCTGGCAGGACCCGACTGCTGTGGCTCCATGCTGGTGGGGGTAGGGGGACCCCCTCCTCCTGATCCTCCTCCACTGCTCTGTTGGCGGATGAAGAAGGCTAAGCGGGACGGGGTGCTGGGTCTGGGCGGGGCTGGAGACTCTGTGCTCGGACTGTTCATCGCTGCAGGAGAAAAAAAACACAGATGGAAGCAGGTGTTAACTTTCTAACACCATTTAACACACATTTACCTGCTTTACAAGGAAAAACACACACACACACACACACACACACACACACACACACACACACACACACCAGTGACCTTTTACCAAATTTGGTCATTTTTTGCTGTCACAGTTATGTGTAGAAACTTGATCTTTCTACAGAGCCCAGCAGTTGTAATAATAGAAAAACACTTAAAACACTAATTTATGAAATTCTTGAAATATCTCATTTGTGCGCATGAATTCACAGAACAATACACATGTTAAAGAGCTGTAAAAAATAACACACTGTTGTTAGACCGGCAGCTGCCTCATCTAAATGAAGATTAAAGTGGCTCATTTATATCAGATTATTCACTGCCCAGGCTACACAGTTATATATACACTTAACTGAAGGCATCCAAAGCTGGCAGAAACAGCGTCTAATGTAGTATCACAAAACACAAAACACTGTCAATGCGAAGCTGACACACAGCTGCTGGCCGCCTTGCTAACACTTTGAGTGCTACTCCCTCACTGAGCAAAACAGTAACGACAGCCTTCAATTTCATTTCCTGCTAATACAGCACAGATAGCTCTTTTTATGCGTATGAACACAATATTAATCCTGACACCTACAGGGCCCCGTAGGCAAGTTTACATACAGCTGATTAAAAAAATGAAAGCTTTTTTTTTTGAGTTTTGGAATAGCTGTAATTGTTCACTTCACGTTTACAACCACAGCTGTCAAGTGTGACTGTGTGTGCTCCTTTTCTACAGATGTCCGTTGCTCACCTTTACCCCAGAATGCATTGTCCTCATCCCGGTCAGCAGAGGGCGCCGCACTCAGCCGGCAGCACTCTGGGATCAGCGACAGGAACTTGTCTGCTGACTTTCCATAAATGTCCGTCTCCCTGATGGCACGACGCTGACTCAACATTACATGGGTACAGGGCAGTAGATACCTGGGAGCAAACACACACACACACACACACACACACACACACACACACACACACACACACACACACACACACACACACACACACACACACACACACACACACACACACACACACACACACACACACACACACACACACACACACACAAAAAGAAACCACTTAATTTGCATTTACACAGTTAATCTCTATTCAGGCAGTAAAACCTTAACAAACTGCTGTTTGTGCCACATTTCCTTTGGCAGTGATGTGTATTTTATCTGTTACAGGCCACGTACACACACACACTGCAGTTCAAAAGGCAAAGCTTGGATGTTCACAAAATTCTTGTAAAAATGTATTTGCCAACATGTAAATGTATTTCACACAGAAAAAAAATTCTCATTTAAGGAACCCAGATTGTAAAACTAAAAAACAGATGATGGATGGGCAAAAATACTGTGTTGTACCTTCCAGCGATCACTAGTGACCGTGTGACACATAAATACACCTTCAGTTAATCTGAATGAGTGGGTATGGAGAGAAATAGTTACTACTAGATCTGTGTTTCGCGTATTAAATGAGCTCATTGAAAATATAAGACTTGGGAAGAGACGCTGGGACGTGCCGACATACCTGAGAACGAGCTGCAGCATGATGTCTTCACAGTGCAGGGAGAGCAGAGTCCTGAAGAGGCTCAGCGACACCATGCAGAGCTGCAACACACACATTATCATTCACAGACTTTAACCAGCAGGTATGAAGAGAAGCTTTTTTTGTTGTTGGTTTTTTTTTTGTTTTTTTTTTTAATAACATGGGTCTCACTGTTGTAATTCTGGCCAAACGACAGTCAGTTATGGAGATGGAGACGCATGTTATCCAATCACCTCTGTGTACAAAGTCCTCAAGTTCCCCGTTTATACATGAGCTACACCACATGGAAACAACAATGGATGGATAAACTAAACAGTTTTTGTTTCAGTGCAGTTCAACTTGTCATGAAGCAAAACAAAAAAACAAAATAATTCTTCTTAGTTAAATACATTTATTAAAATGTGAAACATTTTTCAGGTGTTCCAGTTGTGAAAAACATGTGGGGTCCCTGTGTATCGTGCAAATGATGGCCAATACTACAAAAAAAAGCCCAAAGCTTTGTTTCTATAGTTGTCTTTAGCTCTCTGAAATTGTTGTTTTAACTACAACAAAAGACGTCAGCCGTTGTGAAAGGCTGTGATCTCCGTCACAAACTTTTACACTTCCCTTCCAAAGGGAGAAACTAGACATGATACAACGAATTTCCTGTTTCTTTTAAACACCACGATTGCGTCCGAGTGACCAGAATGTGTTTATTTTGAGGGATCAGTATATATGAAACTGAAGATTATGTAAACACATCTCACTCTGGATTTCTTTGCCAACTACAAACAGTGTAACTGTCAATAGATGCAGCACGCTTGATGATTTACTCTGCATGTTTGTTCTGGGGAAACAAATCATTCTGTTTTCTGTTGCAGTCATTTTCAATCAATTTTTGCTCGCAGCCCACTTGCCACCCACACTACTGGGTTCATGTGAGGGCCTCGAGGCTCTATCACACACGTATACATATATGAATATACACCAACCCTTGAATTGCTGCTGATGCGCGTGAGCAGTGTGTCCAGGATGGTGTCGTTGTCGTGGCGATGCAGCAGGATGAAGCGCAGGAAGGTTTTGAGGAGGGAAGTCTCAGTCACACTACGCAGGAAAAGGTCCAGGTAGGCGGTGCTGGCGATCATCTCATCCACCGACGACTACACACACACACACACACACACACACACACACACACACAGAAATTTGTATCAAAACTGCAAATGAGGTTAATGTGACAACTGTCCTATGAATAATGTGAAGTCTGTGATTAAAACCAGGCAATGAGACAATTTCTTCAAACAGTGTGAAATGGTTTTCTTTGACTGACTCATCTGTTGAGGAAAGTCAAGCAAACAAATCCATTCACACAATTGTTCTACTTCTCCTGCCAAATGTCTTCCAGTAACTCACGGGTGGTCAGTTTCCACTGGCACACAATTTGTTGGTCCACCTCATTCTATTTTACTTCAGGGGTCAGTTAACCCAGATCTGGGAGGTTTGTGCTTTATCTAGTGTAATCCTACCTTGTGCAAGGCAGGGCCCATGACAGGTACAAGGAAACCGTTGTGGAGGTAGTCCAGGAGCTGGTAGCGGACCAGGGGATGTGCGACTTGCACCACAGCGTTGCAGAACTCCAGCGAGTTCATGAACAACACGAGGGACGACACGCTCATCCAGTCCTCCCGCCGCAGGGCGTGCCAGTCGTCTCCTCGAACCTCGATCTTCCTTGGCAGAGAGGAGTAGAGCGCGCTGAGGCCCGTCGCCAGCACCTGAGGAGAAACAGAGGCTTCACATAAGACTCCTGAGTCTAAACAGCCCCAGTGGGTCAGTAGGTGACTGAAGGGCTGGAGAGCTCTCAGGTAAAAATGTAGACGATTTTTTGCAGATTTCACAGATCAATTACTTGATTTTTTTTAAAGTAGAAAAAACAAAAACAAAACCTTAATAAAAAACAACAGTTGAAACAATAAGATGATTATCAGTGATATTGATTGACAGCAAAGTACAAAGTATTTATTTATTTATTCTTTACTTTATTTGTTTATTTGTTTAATCTGGAGCTGTTAGCCCTCACTAAACTAATGCAAACAATTCATTTAAAAAAAAAAAAAACCCAGAGATTTCAGGATGGGAGAGGAGTGTGTTTGTGATGAACACTATTGACATCAAAAAATGTCAAACAAGGCTGAAGAGAATGTGCAGCAAACAGTGAGACTCAGGCAGAGAGGAGTATTTGGTCCTTGACGCCACCTCCACTGTCCCTTCTAGACCGTAACTGGGTCAGACTGAAGCTGCTGGAAGTAGGACGAGCAGAAAATAGCCACGCTGGCTCTTTAGCACTACAATGAACACGCCGGGGAAGAGGATCCTGACCGCAGCATTAAACCACAGTACTCAAGATATAAACATCATGCAACACTGTTCACTCTCATTATCTAGTTTAAAGGCTAAAACATCACTCAGTTGCTGTAATGTGTGAACAGATTTAGGTAGTCAACACCGGTTCTGACATTCACACGTCTTCACTTCGTACTGAGTCACAATCAGAATGAAGTCCAGCAGGTTACAACCCTATTCAATAAATATTCATACAACAAAAGTAATAAGTAAATACAGCTCTTTAATTACATCTAGTGGCAGCTGTAGCAAACTACACCAACACAGGCAGAAACCGTTCACTGGCCTTCCTTTACAAACGCCCCTTACTTCTTGGCTGGACTAACCATGGGCCAACATTACATCTGCATATATCCATGACTGAGTGAGTGACTGGGTGAGTGATGAAGCTACATCATCGAAGAGGCCGGCCGAGTATTGAGACTTTTCCCATTGGCAGTTGATCTGTCAAAATGATTTGGTACAAACAGTTTCTACAACGTCATCGGAGGCGATTACAGCAGATCCAAAATAGTTCCAACTACTGTATTTCCTCAAAGAGGGGCCTATAGGGCATCGTGTGGCGTAGTGGTCTAAGCAGGCGCCCCATGTGTAGAGGCTACAGTCCTCGCTGCAGTTGGCCCCGGTTCGAGTCCCGCATCGGACGGCCTTTGCTGCATGTCATTCCCCCTCTCTCTGCCTCCCCATTTCCTGTCTCTCTCTACTGCACTATCAAATAAAGGCATAATAAGCCCAAAAAAATATACTTTAAAAAAAAAAAAAAAGAGGGGCCTTTATCTCAACTGCAGAAGGTAACAAGCCTTTATTTGAGGCAGGCTTGTATTTAAATTCCCTGTGTTTCACATGTATGATTGGTCATACAGGTATTTTAGTGTGATGCGCACACGCATACAGGGTGTAGCCTCTAGGTTTATACCCAGTCTTTTTTCTTATTTACAGACTTACTGAAAATATATAAGATTTTACCTAAAAGAAAAAATCCACCCCAAGAAAACTCAAGTTCAGTATTCAATTATGTTTTAAGCGATCGCAGGTCTTTTAAAACGTGACTATGACAGAACATTTTTGTTTTCATCTAGAATGTTTTTTTGAGGTGCCTGACTCTGTGAACTGCTGTGTTTCATAATGTCGTTAAGCTTCAGTTAAATTAGTTCACTAGCCGTCCTAGAAGTTTAGACATGATGGGATTTGTGTAAAGCAGCAGCAGCAGCAGCAGCAGCAGTAAGGAGTCTGTATGAAACAGGATTTTCAATGTGTTTATCTTGAAAATTATAAATGTGTGATGTTGGCCGAGGTGGTTATTTCTTGGTGGTTAAATTTACAGGAAGTGCTCCAAGTTGAGAGAGCTGATAGGGTGCAGATAAGGATGAACGGTCTGTCAGAATGCATGGTCATCTCCTTCCCCTTCCATTATCACACACCATCACTGATGCATCAGAATGAGACAGCACACACACACACGCACACGCACACGCACGCACGCGCACACACACGCACACACACGCACACACACTTTCTTAAAAGCAGTGTTGAAAAGTAGCCAGGGTCCCACATTATAAGCTGTCCTCAACTATCACATTTAAGAGTATGTAGTATTCATGTGTATATCAAACTGATGGCCCTTTTCTGTGAGAGCCAAAATCGACTATAAATAATAGATTTAAATTGGATAATATTTGCACAGTATTGCATAGGAAAGTGAATTAGAGTTAAGTCAGCTAACCTAAGAGGGGAATAAAACCATCGCAGCATCAAAGAAAATAACAAGGTTGGATTTTTCCAACTTTTGGAAGAAGCTCAGGAGGATTTACCATGTGGGTGGAAATTGAAAACTTGACAGTATAGTGAGCATGTAAAGAATCCGTCGAACCCCAGTGGTTGGATCTCTGTTTTTCTTTGGAGTTGTGCGTTATTAACAATTCAACAAGATAATTAATGATGACTTCAATACGAGTCAAGAAGTTCTTCTTCACTGGCTTTCTAAGGGGTTTTGATTTTAGTTAGACTTTTGCCCACATCAACCACATGCTGTGGCTTTACCTGTGTGTACTGGACAAAAATGTTTTTTTTTTTTGTTTGTTTTTTTTTATCAATACAATAAACAAAAATTTTTTTTTTAAATAAATAAACAAAACATATCAAATATCAAAAGTAATGAACCAGAACCACAACAGCAACAATTTCCAGGTGAAGTGACAACAGCACTCAGGCTGGGCAGTAAAACAATATCCGATAACAATATCACTAAAGAAATTTCCCACAATAATGATAAAAGTAATACTTCTGCTTTTGGGTCAACCCTCTGCACATTGACCCTATTAGGATACAGCAATAAGGTTAAAAAGGGCCATTACAGGGGAAACAAAACTATGTCGAAACCAACTATATGGCTGATTTTAACTGAAGACCTATCTTTAATGAGCAGCATCACTCACCGGGCAGAAGTAGGAGTTCTCAGCGATGTAGCGTGCCACGGCCTCGTGGCTGGCTGAGGCCGCCATGACCAGCAGCAGCGCGTCTCGGGCCTGCTGTCCGATGGCTCCGTCCCGGTGGATGAACGGCACAAGGAGGGAGAAGATCAGTAGATTGGTGGAGCCCTGCTGGGCTGGCGCTGCCCGGAACAACATCTCTAGAACCACTGGCTGCCGGGCCATGGTCACGCAGACCTGGTGAAGAGTCACAGTGAAAAACAGTACTTTAGTATGGTGTAAAATATTGATCAAACAGGACTGACAGGTATGCCAGGTATCATTCCTAGGTAAGTTGTTATAAGTAACGTGAAAATTGTGTTACACAATATTATCAACTAAAGAAAATCATACCTCAGTCATTTAACATGTGCTGGTCTTTTTAGGTCTCAATACTCTTAGTGTCTGTTCTCAGCCTTGTGTTATGATTTGCAAATTTGGCTTGAAGGCCAACAACAAACACGATCTTATTCAGAGTGTATACACACATTAGAGAAGTATATGAACTGGAGGTGAGTATACCTGGTTGAGCAGCAGTACCAGGCTGTTCTCCAGGGCTGAAGGACAGCCAAGTTCTGGGTCAGCGCAAGCTCCCAGCAGCCTCAGCAGGGGGTGGAGAATGGCTGTGTGCTGCAGCAGAGGCTGCTGGGACTGGCCGATGAGCATCTCAAACAGCTTGAGCAGGGCCCCCTGGCTGTCCGGGTCCAGGCCGCGGCGGAGGTGCCACTGAACCAGGCACTCTAGAATATTCTCAGTGACCACCAGCTCCAGTATGGGGCCCATGGGTGGCACGCTGGCGCCGCCCTCTGAGCTGTCAGCGGGCCTCTCCTCCGCCAACAGACATAACATCTGGTCCGTGTGATTCCTCACGGCTGTCAGGTCATCGCTGGAGGATGAAGGCTCGTGCTGCTCCAACACCCAAGAGACCTGAGTAACGGAACAGTGTTTTAGTGTAATATTTAACACTTAACATTGCTGTCCTTTGATGGGGAGTTAGAAAAATAACCAAAGTGACAGGCGTTTCATTCCATTTCAGCTGAGTATGAAGACGTTTTGAATGAAGTGGGGTTTTGAGGCTTCATAATGTCATTAATCTGGTCTTCAAGGGCTTCATTTCATTTGTTTCATAAGCCTTTTTCACGGCAGACATTCTGACTTCGCACAGAAGGAAAATCACAGGTGTGAATAATAAAATTAATAATGGCTGAATGCCATTCAGCTTCTTCGGTCAAGGTCTCGGTATTGTCTCTGGCTCACTGCCACAGCAGCTGTGTCCAAAATCAATATAGGGAGTGGTGAATGAGTGAACAAGGAAATGACTTGGGACACATCCCACATGGAGCTCACAGACATTTATAGAACATGGCTTCCAGTGATGTCATTAGGAGCACCTGCGCTTCTCCTGCTATGACAAGTGAAAAAGTTTGATGTGAAACAGGCAGTTGTTGTCAGACACACTGTCAGGTCTGAAAATGTTTACCCTTTTTGTTGTGTGGAAAAATGCGTTGGCTGCATTTACTATCCTAAATAATATATTATATATATAACATATAAAAAAAATAGATCTACAAGCAGTTAATTTAAACTAAAAAATTTTACAAAATATTTCAATGTAATTTTCTTTTTTTCTTTTTTTTCTTTTTTTTTTAGATAGAATGTAACAAAACTGTGTAATAGGGATGTAAAAATAATGAAATCAATTGAAGAGCCACAGTGTCATAACATATACCAAGAGGTTTACCAGTCAGCATGACTACGGCCATGATGAATCTGTGGATATGCAAGCAGCTTGTGCAGATAACAGATGTATATCTTGTGTTTCAGCAGCTTGTGTGTGAGTTATGAGCATTTGGTCAATGTTGCATGACGCATACATGTTTGTACACACATGCGTTCCCACAAGACCAATATTTATTTATTTTTCATATTTCTCATATCATGTCTTATATTCTCATTTACATGTAACTAAATAATCAAGACATAAACCTCTACCCTCTTCTTAACAACCATAAAAACATGGAGGATTGATTTTTCAAAAAGCTGACTGTGTGCTCTGGGCTTCCTCCACTTAACACAGGCATGTTACGTACAGTACTAGGAATACTGCACTTACATGTCAGAGTAGGTTATCGTCTTGTGGATATGTTACAACCGATTTCCAACCTATGAAGAATATTGTCTGCTTATTCTATCACAAAAGCTCTCCTTCAACAGTCAGCAAGTATCCAGGCAAAGAAAGAGAAGAGACGTCTAGAGAGAGAAGAGAGCCTCCCACCACAGACCAGTAAGAATCACTCAGATGTCTTTTGTTGTCTCAGACAGTGACAAGGCTCTGTAACCTATAAACATTCAGTCAGTGACTGGGCATGAGCCAGTCACTGACTGTTAGGGTAGACCAACTGACTACTCTCATCAGCACTGGCACAGCCAACTGTATGTGTGCACTTTCACACTTGGTGTCTGGACAGATAATCATTCACTAAGCTCTGTTCAGACCTGGCACTGATATGCATCTCAGGTGATCCGATCACAAGTGGACAGCTCCAAGTACGTCAGTTCACACCTGGCATTAGAATCCTTCTGCACCTGTCTCTAGTGGCCACTTGTGATTGGATCTCACTTCCCTGCTCTATTGGCACAAAAACATCATTTCTGTTTGCAAAGATCAAATGCATTGTTGTTTTTAGCCAGTTTGAGAGAGAGAGAGAGAGAGAGAGAGAGAGAGAGAGAGAGAAGGGCCAGGTTGGGCTAACTGAATCAATGAACTGTGCAAAGCTCTGCAATAAAATATGGTTTTACCCATTTGAAATAGTAAAAAAAAACAAAAATTGAAAATCACATGTGGCACAGACCACCTCTGAGCGTGGTGTGAGTGATCAGATTTCAAAAGCGTCCTCACCTGTGCTTAGAGCTGTCCACATGTGATCGGATAAGCCGAGACGCATGTTAATGCCGGGTCTGAGCAGGACCTAAAAGAGCCTTAAAATTTCTCTTTCCAACTCATGGTTAACTAAAAGTTTTTATTTGTGTGCTGCTCAACATACAACAAAGAGAAACAAATCGTGCACATTTTTTCTTTATTATCTTCTCTATTATAGCGGAGGCATGTAAACACTTTTACTGCTGAAACAATCTAACAGTTAGTTGATCAACAGGAAATTCATTTTTGATCCATCAAAAAAATTATTTTGATATAAATATCGTTTATTAAGCAAAAAATATTAGATAATTGAAAATTGACTATCTTTGCTTGGTTGGTCTGGAGTTTGATTTTTCTATGATTTATCAACGTTTATTCATGCTAGATATCTACGATAACAATATCCTTAGAAAGTGTGAAAGTAACACTGAATCTTTAACTATGTGCATCATACCTTTGTGTTCAGATTTGACTGAATTCTGAGAAGAAGTAGTACAATTCTGACCCAAACTGCTGCAATCGGGCGCTGAGGGTTTAAAAGTACCTTAATTGGCTCCATGTGGTGTGTGTCACAGCCACTGCTGCTGCTCCAACTGCTGACATTATAATCCAAACCACTTCTTTTGAAGGGTGATCACACCATGTTCTACTGAGTGCACACACAGTTACAGCGAGCACTTTTAAAAAATGTGCTTTGGGTTGTTGTGTTAATATTGTTTAACTGGGGGCTTGTTTAAAAACCTTTCAGGTGGCCTGTAAACTTCATGGTAAAGCAGAATACAGCAGATATACTGTGTCTCCACATCTCAGATATGAAGTTGGTGAGTAAAATGATATAAAATGAAAGCATGAGTCATTATCACAACAAAATATGTAATTTCATTCATAATTCAAGGGGAGATGTATGTCTCCAGCTCACCTGTCTCCAGTGGTTCTCAAACACCATGAGGCAGGTCTCTGGGTCAGCAGTGCAGGGGCTGGAGGGGGCAGCACTCCGGCCGGACCGACTCCCGGGACCCCGTGGGTTCAACCTGCTCAGCCAGCTCATACTGGACCCGGTGGGAGGCCGGTCAAAAGTCACGAGAACTCAAAAGGTGGGGGAGAAAGAGTTCCCGGAAAAGGTCAGAGTAAAAAAAGAAAGCAGAGAGAAGAAGGGAAGAGGGGAAGAAAATTAAAAGATGATGTGGGAAGGAGAATGAGAAGGGGAGGAGAGAAGGGGGATAAAGGGGAGGGAAAGTGTATCTAAACAGAGAGGAGGAGGTGAAGGAGGTCGCCTGAATGGGCTGTCACTGCCAGTCAGTGTACATCTAGGAAAAGCCCACTGCTGCTTTAGAGACTGTATGACCCTGTCCTCCCTGTAGACCCTGTCATCCAGTCTGAAGCCAACTCCACTCCATAGCCAGTCAGGACAGGCGCTCCGTGCTGTGTAAACAAACAAAAAAACAGAACATACACATCAACATGTAAACTTCAAAACACAATCAATAACATTTTCCCAAAAGTCTTTTAAAGTTCCCAAAATATAACTGTGCAACTGTGTTTCTGTCAAGTCTACATTACTGTATTTCCTTTTGTTTGGGCTCTGAAAATGTAATGAACGGCTACTATACCTAGAGTGGTTACTGTGTATGTTAAGACTGCAGTGGTTTCGCATACACTTAATATATAAAGGGTGACTGTGACTCAGCAAGACACCGAAGCCTAATTGCTCCCAGAGGCTAGGCCAGAGAAATTTGAAATTGTCAAGCACTTTGAATCAATGTTCTAACACAGGACATTTACAGTGGCCGTCTTTTAAAGTTTGAACAAATTTAAAGTAAAAATAACCAGATGGGAACATCAAGAATCCAGTGCATTAAATATCTGAAAATCAAGATACTTAATCATATTGATGAAAAAAAATGTAAATCCATTATTTCCAGGAAGAGAGCATGAAATGGTCTCACACAGCCAGGGATATTAAAATGATAGCTACCTTAATGTAAACTGTACAGCTAAGTCTCTGTCAGCGTGCACTGCCCTGCCCTCCAACCCCACAAAACACCCCTTCATTCAGAAATCAATCATTTGTGCTGAAGGGCTTCTATATTTTTTTTTTCTGTTTTCCTAAACAAACATAAGTCAGCCTCTACAGTATGTTGTTTCCAGGGAAACCATTCAGTCCACCTACAGCCAGTCCACCTTCAGCTTAACATGGAAGTCCCTCACTATTAGGGATGCACTTTTGCTGCTTTATTCATCTGCCAAGTTAATAGCAGATTAATCATTAAAAGCTTATTCAAAAACATGAAATGCACAAAGTGTCACTGTCAACTGACATGTCACCCCATGTCACTCTTGTCAATTGTTTGAGCTTTACTTTCACAACTGACATGGGTGAGTTTTTGCCCCTCAATTATAGGAAATTCAGTATTTGAATCAGAACTTGAATACAAGTTAATTATTTAAATCAAAAATATTGCCATCCACCAAAAATGGTCCTGGTCCAAACAACTTTTTTCAACAAACTGGACAAAGGGCATAAATTAGAGACTGTATATGCAGGAAACTTAAAAAAATGTAATTCACTCTTGTCAAGCAAAACAAATGCTGATATTAAATAACAACATAAAATTGCCTGCCCAGATCTCCAGATTTAAGGCTTAGTAGTTTTTATTTGAGAATATGAGCAATCTCTACGTTCAGAGCAAAACTGTATGTAGTCTGTTCTCTGTAAGTGAAACAAAAAAAAAATGGGCTGATCAGTTTTGCATAATATTGCAAGGGAGCTAAGAGGAAAGAGGGAGCAGCCGCAGTGAACTGATGGGGAGGTGCAGGCATCAGGTGCATACTCAAACCTCCAAAGTATCATTTTTATCAGACACACCTTCAGCAATGAAACTTTGTCACATTGAAGAGATGCAAATTCAACATGCAAGTCTACAACTATAACCAATGATCAGGTGATCATTGATCACAAATCCTCTTGCTCCACCTTTGTACAAGTCTGTTTCAGCATTCTCCGTCCACTGATTATCATTAAAGTTCCTATGCCCTTACTTTACTGCTCACATAATTCATTTCATAGAAGAGAAGCTCCCTCTGTGTTTCTTTGTTTTCTTTAAATGGGGTAAGGAACTAAGAAAAAATGCTGATGAAAATCTTTTGAGTATCAAATACGCTCTACCAGTAAGTTTTAAAAACACTAGGTTTTTCAACAACATACAGTAGCTAAATACACTACTTCCACATTGTACTATCACATCTTCACAGCTCCAAAAATATCTGCCACAAGTACTGTATTTAGTGATTTATTGTCGGGATTATTTAGAAATGACTGAACAGATGGATCAACAGCAGAGAGGATTATGCTGCATTGATGCCTTTTTTATGCTGTGACTGTGGGTTTGCTGCTCTCCTCCATGAACGAAGGCTGCAAACTCTTCAGAAACCGCATTTCAAGCCTATTTGATACTCAAAAGATTGATTATCAGTGGTGTATTCCTTTACGAGAAACCACATTATCACAGTTATTTTTCTGCAGGGGAGAACTGATTTCACTATGATGCCTTTACTTTAAGGTTAATGTCAAAAACAGCTTAATTGAGCTTGAAATCCATGTCTGTGAGACTCTTAACTTTCATCTGTGTTTGAATAAAAGATCACTCAAAGGACCCCTCTGGTGAGTCCAGCGAGGTTCAATAGGTTTGGGAGTTCAGTGTCATGGTGTTAAACTGGATGTGTAGATAAGTACATTTTAAAGTCGTTTACAAATATATTTGTCATTATTTGTGGCTACATGAAGTGGACTCAAGTCAAATTGGGTCAGACAGGAGTAACAGATTGAGTGACTTCTGGTTCGACTTCCCTAAATCAATAAGGCAACGTGCTTTTCTTTTTTAAACTTCTCAGACAGCAGCTGTATGAGTATCACAAAGGGCACTGACAAATACAGGTCAAATGTAGCGTCCATACTTTTAGTGATTCACAAGCCGTCAGTGGGTGAGTCGATGATAAAGTTAATGATACTTATTCTGAGACAATTCAGTCTTTTCCTTAGAAGCTTTAAACAAATCTATAGCTAGACATGGAAGTGGAAAGAAACTCAGCCCACAAAGAGTCAAGACTGAGATATCTACTGCAAAATGACTCTGTAAATAAGCTCACTGAAAACACAGTCTGTTATGATTCACCATAAATGCAATTACCTTTAAAGCACGTCAGCCAGTCTGCCTCAGCATTTCCAGCTAATATGAACTACCACATTTCAAAATGTCTTTAATTTCCAGGTCACACAAACACACACACGCACTGCATCATAAAAAAAAAAAACCCATAAAGTGAGTTCAAAGTTCAACTACAGATTCCACAAAAGGGAGGCTGCCTCTTGAGTTTGTCAAAGATTAGTGATCAAACACACCATAACACAGCTCATCTTGACTGTTATAATCTCAGAGCACAAAGTCTACAGGCCAAGATTTTCTCAGACACTTTTCTCAGATGTTCAGACAGACTGGAAGTTGAGAAAAGCTCCTGTCCAAAGATTGTGTGATTTCCTACAACGTACATGCTGACAACCACACCTGCTTTCTGTAGCAAATGTCCAGGTGTGGACACGTGTGACAACAGGCAGAGTCTTCCAGGTCTCTGCTAATTCTGTCCGTCACATTCTTCACATTTCTACATCTGTCTTTATCCGTTTTCAATGCTGAAGCACACCGATCACATTTGTGTCTGCAGTGACAGAGGCAGTGAGCTCTGACAGACATGAGCTGATACAGACACCTGCTTCCGATATTTTAAAATCACTTTAGTAAACACACTGTACTGATCTCCTGTACCAACAAATACTTCCGCTCTGTAACCACCATCCCTCACTATGACAACCAGCCTCTCAACCCACTTTCAAAGGTAGTTGCCACCTTACAAATGTCTGCAGAACTGCCTTTAAGTACACTGCTATGACAAACCAGGATATAACACACACATTAACAGGTGATACATCATAAAAATATTTTCATTCTCTACTTAAGTGGGTTACTTTTCAGTTTCAGGTGTAATCTCAAAACTTTCTTCTACACCTTACATGTTTTTCTATAGAAGTCTTCTTTATATTTAGTGTCATCAAACATCCCAAATGCAAACTTACATTTGTCTTAAAGTAGCTGTACAAGAACTTCCCCTACATTAATTGCAGTATAGGGCTGCAACTAATGATCATTTTCATTTTTAATTTATCAACAGCTTATTTTCCCGATCCCGAAATGCAGAAGAAAATAAAAGGTGACATGTTTAAATTGCTTATTTTTCTGAACAACCCAAAAGCCAAATATTCCATCAGTGAGACTAAGAAAACCAGCAAATAATCACATCTGACATGCTGAAACCAGTACATCTTTTGGCGGTTTTGTTTGTAAAAATAACTGTGATTATTAGTTCATGATTAACTGACTAGTCATTTTATCTAATGCATTCTAAAATGGCAAAATATTGTGAGCACCTTAGTACATTTTTGAGCTAGAAAACAGCGCTGGCTAAGGCTGTAAAATATGATTGAATAGCTAATAATAAGTGGACTTTGAGTTAAGACAGTCTAACTAGAATAGCTATGATTTAAATCAGGACACATGTGATCAAAGACACTTTTGAGTCTGACTGAACACTTAATTAGAGTGCAACTTCAAGTATTCGCCTTTGACCAAGAGTAATGCTCTACTCATTTTTAAGTGTATTTAGATAACAGATTAATGATTAAAGAGTTGACTGCTTTAGAAACACTTCAAGAAGTTAAAGACAACTTCCACAGCACTCCTTGTGTCTGCGCTTTAGGAAAAACACTTATTTAATTCAGGACGCCAACGTTCACAGACAGTATCATGCTCTGCAGTGTTTTGGGTCATGTGTCCCCTTCAGACTGACAGACTGTTAGCGTACCTAGTTAGCTTTGAGTGCAACCATCAAATAGCACGACCTTGTCTTCAAACTGGTCGGTTTGTTGACGTTATCCAATTAGCATTTGGGCTGTACATCTGATCTCGCAGTCATCACCCTGCACCAGATCTCATATTAGCCAGGCGAAGCGGCTTACGTTGGACTCCACCGGAAAACAACAATCAATGCATTTCAATTGCGAGATGATGTAGCAAGCTAGTTGATAGTGCAAAGATAACTAGCTAGCTTAGAAATGTCAACCATGTATGTAAATAATTTATCTAGTTGACGTGCTAAAGATCTTTAATGCTAGGTAATTCTGAAGTTACTTACCTTGGGTGTTTGTATTTGTCTCAACAGTTGTTGCGAGGTGCTGTCCACGGATACCTGCTAGCTGGTTGCTAGTACGTTAGGGCTAGGTTGCTAACGACTAGCTGCTAATGAATTCCACAATGTCAGAGCAGTTAACGGATGATCAGCGCGAAAATAACCTGGAGACAACTGGCGTGCTAGACCAAACTGAGCCGGCGAAGCTGACAAATTAACCACTCCTTCATTCGGGCTGCTGTGCATCCTGTTAGCGACAGATAAACATCCCATTTGATGATTTCTCAAACACTCTTCCCTTTCCCGCAGCCATCTTACTTTAACTCCTCCTACACGGCTTCTCTGACTCACACCTCCACACTGCTGCTCCACACTGCTGTATGAAGGGTTTAAAGTGCCAAAATTAAGCAGCAAACACCGTCACCCGGTTCATACTAACACTGTCAAGCGTACACTGTGTTCTAACGCTGATAGGGTTTCAGTTTGGCCGTTAGTACTGTACAATAAACTGTTGACATTTAAATCGATTGTGATGATGACTGAGCATCATTCTTTACAATGGTAGTAAAACAACCCCAACTCAAAGTCCACTTTTTCTGGTGTTTCAACTGTCTTCATCAGTTTTCTTCACTGTAATGGAGATGGATGTGTTGATTTCATTCATTTGACTTTGCGCATTCTGTGTTGGCAAGTGGCACTTCAGTTATTGAATAGGTTCATTGCACTTCAATAAAGTTGGGGGACTCATATATTGACTTTTAAACACAAGTGGTCAAAATCAAAGCAGCAGAGGCACAGACTTAAATCCCAGCAAGCTTCAAAAAATGAGGGCTTATTTCCCCTAATGCAACTCAACAGTGTCTTTTATAGAGTGGCAAAAACATCAGTCAGCTATGGTTATAACTAAAAATGCAGCCTAGTAATTTAAAAACAACTATTGAGGTTTATATGTTTTGGGGATGTAGGGACAAGTGGTCAAGGAGCCAAGGAAAGGAGCTTGGGATCCTTTCTTATGTGTATTAAGTGTTTCTCTATGTCTATTCAGGCATAATCATAACCCAGGTATGAGGTTATCTACTTCACTGTAAAATAGAATATGGCATCAAATTACAGATATTAAATATATCTATTTTCACTTAAACATCACATTTGCTTGTTTGATTTTTTTGTAAACATTTCATTCTGGCCAGATTTCTTTATTAGAATAAAAGCAATTATATAGCCTTTTTTCATTTTCAATTCTCTTTTCGGTGACATATAGTATTTAAAAGTACATGCAGTAGACTCTGTATGTTTACTGACAGTGACAGACTGTTGTTTGGGCTCTGCACTCCAGTCATGTTGTCTCAAGCAGCACATCTGGGATGTGCAGTAGAAGACCGCTCTGGTTTTCTAGGGGAACGAAGAATTCCCAGAGGACACATGACATCTGTTGTGCTTTCCTTCCATAGAGACCAGGATCACCAGGCAGTGCTCAGGTACAGCTGGTTTGTTGTTGGGTGAAGCACGCAGCACTGCCTGATGCAAGTCATCAAGGTTGTTTGAATTATTGTCAGAGAAAGTGCAATACTCATGCAGAAGGGAACAACATCAAGAGCAAATGTCGCCGTCATTTAGAAACATGTGTTAGTCTAATTGCTAAACTTTGGAGGATGGATAAAACAGGTATTTCTAGTTTTACAGGTAACCAATGGCAGAGACTCCTCAGGTGGCATCGGGGGCAGAAGGATAATGAGGAAGGAGGAGATGGAGTCAAGGATGAAGGGAAACGGAACAGCATTCTGGATCTGAAGTTGAAAGTTAAGTAAGTAATTAATGTTTGGGCTAAAAAATGTTGCAAAAATTTTTTTTTAGATCACTATGAAGAGTCTCAATCTTTCAGTAAATGGGATCAAAACATTGCATCATTTCTATACTGCTGAAGAACTGACAAAGCATCTTGTGTGTGAGAATTAACGTTTGGAGTCCAGCTAATTAAATCTACTCAAAGCTTTCTTTATCCATAATAACATTTTTTTATACTCCAAGCATTATTCTTACATATTAATGCATTAGGGGATTTAAAGGAAGGGTCTGCCAAATCATAGGCTTTTATTAAATACTGCAAAGTGTAAGACTTTTGATTTAAATGACAGGCACGTTAGATAAGTTTTTACAAAGATATAGCTATGCAATCTATACAAATGTGTCTTCTGATTATTACCACAGTACTATCTTGATATAGGCACAAAAGCATTCATAACCATTTATCCCACTGAGGCAAATGTTGTTTTGCCTACAGATTTCAAATATATGATTTCAAGTATCTATTTGTAATTGTTATAAAATTTAACTTATTATTAATTTACACATGAGAACTGAAACATTATATATCTCTAAAGGACAATTTTCTATGTGTATGACCGATCACGTGGTATATTCTTTCCGTTTCCCTCTTCCTTCTCTCTCATCATTTTCTTTTCAGTTGGAAAGAGAGGGTGATTGATCCGGCAGATCAGTTTTATTATGTTTGGATACAGGTCATGATCTTTCCCATTGTCTACAACTGGGTGATCATCATTTTGAGGTACAAGATTAGAATATGATGAATATCAAATAGTATACAGTATATTATATATCAAAACATTTAACCTGTAATCATTTGATTTCGACTAAATTCAGTCTCACTGGTTGTGTTTTTTCAGGACATGCTTCACTACAATTGCACTGAGCTACCTACCTGTGTGGCTTACACTGGACTATCTGTCAGACCTCATGTATATAATTGACATGATTGTCACTGTTCACACAGGTAAATATTTCTCTTTTTGTCAGTTTTAATTGAGTCTTTGAAACTGTAGCTTATATAACTGTCACATATTCAGTCATATAAATGTGAAATACTGTTTAAATGAACACTTTACAGAAACAATCATAAATAATGAAGAAGCAGTAGAACTATCAGACCATAGACATGATTATAAATCTTTCTGGTTAAGATAGTAATAAATTGACAGGTTTTACTCCAAATAGCCCAATCAAAGCCTAAAATCCACCTCAAAGTAATAAAAGTAGCTCATTTTTTCGAACATGAATTAAAAATAACTAATGTATAATTCAGTGATATGATGGGGTATACACACATAGCATAGCATGTACACAACTTGGTTACATAAAGGCCTGCATCTAGACAACAATGGACACTTTCAGTAACAATGACACATGCCTGTTATTATACGGTTTTGTCCAATGGTGCCCCATAGGGTCTGTTATGTTCTGTGGCTGAACACAAAATGAAGTGTGAGGTTGTATATGCGCCTTTGGTGTATAACAGTAAAGAAAATCTTTTACATTTCATTGAACAAGAGAGGTTACCCTCATTTGTATGCACAGACATAAGCTTTTATATGGCTTTGTCAGGAACAAATTTTCGGTCTAGTTTTGATGAGCTGAAATAATATTTGGTTTTGTCATAGCATTAATGGGTTAATGATACTGATAAACTCAGATTTTTCTAAATCCTCCTGTGTATCTGATTTGGTGGTAAATAATTACATGAGTACCTGAAAAAGCAAAGAGGTAGGCTGCTTCATACCAGTGAGGTCAATTGTTTAGTGTAATTTAATAACAGTCCAGAGATATAGCTCTATATGGACCATGCACGGTATTCTAGTCCCTACATGAGTAGATGTGAAAGCAGTATTAACTCTTGCAAGTCAGGTATATTTGATACTGAAGTTAAAGCCAATCTAAGCTTTGACGAGGTAATTGTACCATAGCCGAAGTGCACTCTAGACTTTGTTAAGCCTTGTTCTTCCCTCTCCAGGTTACTTGGATCAGGGCATCCTGATAAAAGACCTAGCTCAGCTGAAGAACCACTACCTGCACTCAAAACATTTCTTAAGGGACCTGGCTTCCTTGATGCCCACTGACTTCCTCTACTTTGCCTTTGGCATCCAAACTCCGATGGTGAGGATCAACCGGCTTCTCCGTTTGCCACGACTCAGCGAGGCCCTGGATCGAATGGAGACGAGAACATCCTACCCCAACACCTTCCGCATCTCCAAGCTCATGATCTACATCTTTGTGTTGATCCACTGGAATGCCTGTCTCTACTTTGCACTGTCCAGCTACATTGGCTTTGGAAGTGATAACTGGGTCTACCCCAACATCACCCACGTAGAGTTTGCCTCCATGCGCCGTCAGTACTTTTACTGCTTCTGGTTCTCTGCCCAGATTTTCACCACAGTAGGAGACACCCCTTTGCCAAAAAGGGAAGAGGAGTACTTGTTTATGATTGCAGACCTGCTCATTGCCGTGCTGGTGTTTGCATCAATTGTTGGCAATGTTGGTAACGTCATCTCAAGCCTGAGGGACCGTGATAATGTCTTCTTCCCTAACCATGAGCTGGTGAGTTGGAAGACTGTCAGAAATAAGACTCTTTGTTTCTGAAATTAGTCTTTTTCCAACAACAAGGTTCTTTTCATTTTTCAGGTGAAGGCATACCTACGTAGCCATTACATAAGCAAGGAGCTTCGACAGCGTATCGACAACTGGTACCAGCATCTTCACATCAATAAGAAGATCATGCGAGAGAATGAAATCCTGCAGCAGTTGCCCTTGCACCTGAGGACAGAGATCGCTGTCAGCGTTCACCTTCCCACACTCTCCAAAGTCACCATCTTCCAGAGCTGTGAGAAAAGTTTGCTGGAGGAGCTGGTGCTAAAGTTAACACCTCAGGTCAGGGAGAAGGAAGCCCTTCAGATTGATTGTGATAGCTGTCATTTAATTTCCCAACACAATTAAGAGCCTGCTGTGACTTCTACTTTGTTTATAAAGCATGCTAGAAACTTGTGTTGAACCTGCTACCCCCAGGTTCAATACTCACTCAATGGTGTATCCTTATCTTGAATTCAATCCTGTTGCTTCTCCTGGTTAATTTTCATGCTTTCAGAAAAGACTTGTTAAAAGATGAAGATGTGTCCTCATGCCTTTCTCATGCAGGTGTTCAGTCCAGGAGAGTACGTCTGCAGGAAAGGAGATGTGGGCCATGAAATGTACATCATCAAAGAGGGAAAACTTGCTGTGGTAGCAGATGATGGGGTCACAGAGTTTGCTGTGCTGAGTGAAGGGAATTTCTTTGGGGAAATCAGTATCCTCAACATCAAGGGTAAGTCAAGTGTCAAGCACAGAACTTTGCACATGGTCATATGGCATTTAACAATTCATGTAGGTGGTGAATAGACTCAGAAGAGACTGTTTAGTTGCCTCAATAAGGCAGAATGATGCCTGATACTGATGCAGTAATATAACATCCTCACATTCACTGAAAAGCAAAGCAGTAAAACACAAATGAGAAATACTGTTAGTAATAACATTTTGCACACATTACTCATGCTGAGCAGCATTAAGCAATAAGACATAGATAGAAATACAACATTAACATCTGTGATTGTAATGTCAATAAAATGTTAATAGAGATATGTTAAATGATTGTAAATGATATCAGACTCTAACTACATAAATTATGCAGCACATAGTCGAGATACACAACTGTAGAATGTTTATATTTAAATATTAATACTATTGATCTTTGTGATTTAAGAATGTTCCTTTAATCTCTGAAATTGGCTTGTCCTTGATAATGGAACAAGGGTTGGCAACATCATATCTTTTGTAACGTTTTTGGTGCAAAAATTTTAAAGGAATCACATGTTTTCTTTCTAGGCAACAAGTCCGGCAATCGTCGCACTGCCAACATCCGAAGCATTGGCTACTCTGACCTGTTTAGTTTGTCCAAAGAAGACCTGACAGACGTGTTGTCAGAGTTCCCTGCAGCCAAACATCACCTGGAGGAGAAAGGCAGACAGATCCTCACCAAGATGGGCATGCTGGAGGAGAGTGGAGACGGAGAGGAGAGGGAGGCAGAGAAAGTGGAAACCAAGATAAAAAGGCTGGAGAGCAACTTAGAAGTCCTGCAAACAAAACTAGCACGACTAATGGTTGAACTAGAGTCGAGCAACCGCAAGATGCAGGCCAGGGTGGAGCAGCTCGAGTGGGAGGCGGCAGCACTGGACACTCAGCTGCCAGAAAATGGAAAAGAAGGAGAAACAGCACAGGGGAGAGGTGAAGGGGTGGGTGGGGAGGTTGTATGGGAGCGAGAAGAGGCAGAAGGAGAGGAGGAAGAGGAGGGTTCAGATGCAAAGGTGAAAAAACAGGGGCAGGGAGAAGATAGTAATGATGTGACCAAAGAGGGAGATGGACAGAGCACTAAAAGCACAAAGGATGATGTGGAGAGGGCAGCTAAGGGAGATAAAACTGGGTTAAAGGACCCAGATGACCAGGAAAAGAAAAAAGAAGATGATGGAGAGAAAAACCAAGAGAAAGGAGATGACAGACCTGGGAAAGGAGATGGAGCTGAGATTGAACCTGAAGACAAGAAAGAGGAGAAAAGTGAAAGGAGAGAACCTAAAGAGGGGAAAGAAAAGGTTGAAGAAGACTCAAAGAAAAGAGGAACAGAGCAGAAAGATGAAGGACAGAAAAAATGAAATAAAAAGCAAAATAACAGGGTATGAGAATGAAGTTTAAAAAAGTGTTAGTTTGTATTTGTTGTTTGTTGTGACGTCTGTCGGTTTTATAATAATAAAAATATTCAAAACCTAAACATCTCAGTCACTGCAATATGACGTTGCCCCCCTAGATGGCAGCATTGTATTGCCCACTGTTGATTAAGGTCAAAACAGAACTAGTGTTAAAACTATATGATAAATTGCATTTGAATTTTACATTTATTTTATTTTCACACCATAGTAACCAGTGATGTCACAAGAATGTGAAATAAGACCATGCAAACAAATTTTGTCTAATCTTCTCGGTGGCAGCTAATTATTTTTGACTTTTTGATTATTTTTTGATTTTTAAGTTTGGCCACTACATTCATCTGACAGACAGTTGCTTTACAGATTAAGATTTTACAAACAAAACATATGAAGAATGTTAAATATATGACACACTGTAAAAATAAAAAATACTCAAAAAAGTACACATGTGTAAGAGCTTAAACAATTTTATTATTAGTCACTTATACAATCAGCAACTGTTTTGTTATTTTTTTTGTTGCTGGGGATTTTTTTTTTTTACTATTTTCTTATGTTTAACAAAACAATCAGTAAATGCATTGATGAAAATAATCAGTAGTTGCTGCCCTATTGTATATAAAATAGTTAAAAAATCTCAACCAACTACAAGAGTTACGTGGTGCTTAAACGTTAATGCATGAGAAATAATAATCTAACTGCATATTACATGAAATATATAGTAAATCGTTTGATATACTAACGCGGCTTTAGACTCACTTGTGACTTTTTCTGCATTGACTGGCTACTTTAAATATGTTTCCCGGCTAATACTGACATACATAGCATTTTGAATACATAACTTTCACTTGTAATGGAGTATTCTTTTACAGTGTGATACTGGTATTTTTCACTTAACAAAGAATCTGAATATTTGCACTGCACCTGGACTTTTCTTTTTCGTACCAGTAATTTAAAAAAAGCACAGCTCGGCCCTTTAATGACGCACTGTTTACGCACTTCCCGGAAGTGCAGTGGGGACACAGGCCCCATCGATTCAACACAACTGCACACATAAGCACTTACTAATAATAAAGCTCTGTTTGTATGTCATTTTCATGGAGTCCTAACGCTAACACATATGGAGTGTCAAGAGGAAAAGCCAATCATCTATACTATGGAAAACAAGCCGATTGTGACATGTGAGTGTTTATGAAAAGGAGACGTTCAGTCTTATTTTTTCTGGTCTTGACAGTTAGCCTGCTAGCCATAGTCATTAGCTTGTTTTAGCTAAGCTAGCAGGTACACTAAATTAACCAGCTTGGACACGCTACTGTGTGTGTGTTTGTGTGTGTGTGTTTGTGTGTGTAGCGATGGGTAGCTTAATTTCTACTTGTCAAGGCTGTAATATTTTCATGCTTATAAACTGTACCACTGTGTGTGCTAATTGTTTAATTGGAAAGCGGTGTCGCTGTCAGCTAGCTAGTGGCTACAGTGATTAACAGGCCGAGCTAACGATATAACGTCACGGCTAGTTGCTGCAGTTTTGGGAAGGATTTCACCTTGTTCCCCACTGGACAGCCACCGTTTCCCCTGTTAGCAGCACAGACGGTAGTCGATGCATGATGTTTGGCCGGTGGGGTCGGGTTGCCATTCATAAATCCCTTGGAGTCTTGTGGAAGCTTCTTGGTGGGGTTATTTTAAGAGCCGACGGTGGTAGTGGGTGCCAGCTTCACCTCACACCGCAGGCTGCTCCATTTTTAGGACAGAGTGGTCTTAAGGTGTTCCAGCACAGGAGTAGACCTTGGCACTGGGAAGTCGCAATATGAAAGGAAAGTATAGGTATGACAATTCACCAGTGTTGGTAGATTGGAAATCTTAAGTCACAGGTTGCCCAGAGTGGGATCTAGCGAACACCTGTGTTTCCTGAGGGGTTAGCAGGTGTCCTAGCTCAGGTGTGTGCCACTGAAATCATCATTGTTACATTTATGACCTTTGCATTGATGATTAGATACAAAAATAAACAAGTCAGTCATAAATTATTTCAAGAAAGACCTGCAGGTTGTGTGACAAAAATTACGACTGTTAGGTAAAACTCAGAGTCTGTATCCATTAGAACTGCAAAGATTGCTCCATGAATTGATTAGTTGATCGGCAGTAAAACAGTCAGCTTCTATATTGGTAATTGATTAATGCATTTAGTCATTTTTCAAGCAAAATATAATGCTGCACATTCTCTGGTTCCAGTTTTTCAAATGGCAGGATTTGCTGCTTTCCTCTGCTTTACACAGTAAACTGAAAAACCTTTAGACTTTTGGAGAGACAAAACTAGATATTTGAAAACATCACATTGGGCTTTACAATTTTTTTTAATGACAGTTTTTACTATGATTTTAATTTTTTTGAGAAAAAAGGATTAGACAAATTATTGGCATATTATTTAATGTTGATAATAATCCTTAGCTGCAGCCTTAGTAACCATGATACAATGATGTAGAATTTCAGTCCATTTCTCCAAAATCTCTATTCTTTGATCTGAGCAAAGATAGCAAGTGGACAAGTAACTTGCTAACTTAATTTGGTCAAGGATGGTAAAAATATTTATATTATTAGTACTATACTGTGGAGGGAATCTTTTTTGGAATTTGAATGATAATCCATTATCAAATCCTATAATTACAGTAGAGACACAAACTGAGATAGAAAAGGGCACTTGCAAGGCTCAAGAATTTATCATGAAATTGGCGGTTTACCTTCGACACAGTTTATTATTAGGTTCACTGTGTAAGCCACCAGTTGCCTAAAGTTAGACGCAGAAAACAGCAGAGTTATTTGAGGAGGGGTTACAGATGTTAGGCGCCTCGCTTGGCTACGAATGACCTCACTTTCTACTTTCTGTCTATGCTTGTGATGATTGTGCTGTGAGATCATTGATTTAAATTACCTACAAGGCTGTATGTGTCACTCAGATGAAGTGTTGTTTTATCCAAAAAGAAAAAAAAAGTCACTCATTTATAAATTTTAATGAGTGTGTAACCCTCTGCTGCTCCTGCAGCGATGTACTTTTACTATTTATTATTTGACCCTGTGTGTATGATTGGCTCACACAGTCATAGGGTTTTTACTGGTGTTTGTTTCACAGGGCTGCATTGACAGCAGCTTCAGATAACCTCTGTGAACATTCAAAGTTCAGTTTTGCTTGGAGTTTACTGGAGCTTTAAGACCCAGAAAAGGTTGATGCCATTAACTAAAGCACACAGATGCTTTAACTAAATGAAACAAGGCATATGTTGCAGTAGTTAGGTCATATGCCACGCAGCAAAACTCCACACCGAGTGATCTTTTATATCTGTCCAGGTGTTACACAGTGGGCAGCAAGACTAATTGATTTACAGTGCAGTCAGATTGTCAGCAAAGGGAAGTGTGTCGGCCCAGCTCCAGCACACTGGATTTAAACAGAACTGACTGTGACTTTTAGGTGCTGACTTTCTTCTTGCTGAATGTTTGAAGGTATTAACATCTGTACCGGGTGAACAGTGTAAGACCAGTGTTCGTGTTTATCCTTGGGGGGTAGTTATAAAAAGGGCTTTTTGCATGGTTCATTGAATGGGTGGCCTAGTTCCAGTGCAGCTTGAATAAGTACCTCAGTCATGAAAGGCATTGTTTATCAAAGTGCACACAGCTACCATGAGTGACAGTTTGAATGTTTCTGACATGAGGCACCCGCTGTGGGATTGTAGCAGTCATCACTGGTCCACGGGTTTAGCGATGATTTGGAGGATAGATCAACCCCCAAAAGTGGATATGTACAGCAAAGGAGACTGTGTGCTGACTGTCTCTCATTCTCTAAACATGAACTGTGCAGGAACATGATGTGAGGGTTTTTGAAAGCAGGCTTTTCCTAGTCAGAAATTAGAGTTTTAGAAATGAGAAAATAATCAGTAACGTAGTTAAGATGAAAAATATAATTGTGTTGTTCTGTGTTTCAGTGGAAATGATTCTGCCAAATATGGCCTGGTGCTTTCAGCAGTTAATTAGTCTGGAGCCTGTTGTAAATGACAAAACAAGTAAATCAAAAAAAGTCACATGATGGCGTTACAGAATTGCCTACAATACAGTTCCCAACACAAACTAAAGAGACGTTTCAGTAAAGCTTAAGAGAAAAAGTATCTGGTTTTCTGAAAGAAGTGAGTGTTCATGCTGCAAACCCTGACAAATACCTCCCTCAGTGGTAAAACAAGTTTACTTTTTCAAGGTAACACATCATATACATCTGCCAGGCTGTTAAACATGTGATAGCAGAGAGTGCTACAGGACATTGACCCAGGTCTGATGGACTGTAGAGAAGAGTTTAGTAAATCAGACTGTCCTGGCAAAACCTGTCCATCTTTTACTACAGTGTCAAGAATGAAACTCACATCTCTGCCTCACCTTGTTTGCTGGGTATGTTTATCTGTGTTTTTGTGTCTGTGACAAAGAGTGTCAGGGGTCTTTTGGACTCCTGAGAGAATGATGCTAAATAGAAGCCATTTTCTGATACAGTATATTTGCACAGTAATGCCACACTGTCTCACAATTTCCTCCAGGCTAACTGCTGCTATTTATCTTACCTGTGTTGAGTTTGAAAACATCGGTATAATAGCAAAGTGCTAAAAGGTCATAAATGCTCTTTTTACTAATTTTACAGGAGAGCAAAAATGAAACTTCTGATGTTTGCATGAAATCTGGCCTCTGCCTTTTGATCTTAAATTTTGCTAGATTTTTCCAGTTTGTCATATTTTAGATTTTCAGATTTTCTTAGTAGCTTTTCACTTTGTAATCTTGCTTTTCTCTTTAGTTTTTGGGTGGTTTCTTACTATTTAAATTATTATGATTATAAATGCAAACACTTTCTAATATTCAATGTATAAACTTCCCAAAATATCTCTCATGTTCTTTTTGGTGCTAAAAGTAGTGAAATG